CTGTAGAAACATGGAAGACTCTGTGGTAGAGGACCCGCTCCCTCTGTAGATAAAAATGAATTCTTGTAAGATAACAAAACACAACTGTTATTTTCAGGTGATTATACACTAATGAAAACATACTATTCCATTTTTGCCAATAGATCATTGTTACACAAGTTACTTTTAATTAATATGCAAACAAGAAGCAATGGGAATGACACTAATATATTGTAAAGTCCAAATCCCCTTTATATTTACGTTGTAGCATGAAATGTCCACAGAGTTGAGGGCCAAAAGGCTACTTACACTGGCTGCTTGATATATCTGCAACAGGGACATTTACTGTCCTATAAAAATGTTGCTGTTAGAATTTATATAAATCTACTAGTTATGACTTGACTGTGGAGGAACGTTGTAAAGGAAATAATTTCAACACAAGTGTCTGCTCTTGTACAAGGCAGTGTTTTCTCTGACACAGGTGGTCCCTTATTTGCTGTGCCAAAATCCACAAATTTCCTTTGTGTATCACCAGCAAATTTGTCTACTAGATTTTCTAAAGAGGTTTTTATTTCTACTTGGAAGACAGATGTGAATGCAGCATCACACATGATATTTTACAGGCAAATAATGATGACGATGGAAAGGGACCCAACCACAAACAACAACGGTGTCCGATTCATGTGAAAGTTGTACAGATGGAAAGACTAAATAGTGATGGCTGGCCTGGTTATACAGTGGATATGATCATGGGCTGGGAAATTTGATAACATTTCACTGATGAAGTATTGATAATGACATACATTAACACAGAGACATTCAAAATTGGTAGCAGCTTCTGGCCCAGTGGGTCTACCTGTAAGCCTGTACCCAGGCCACTGCAGCACGTACTGAAACGTGTCTCCTCGATACACAACGGCAGCTCATAGTGTACAAAGATAAAGCCAGACAGTCAATATACTGTAAAGAGCAAACTTTTTGGTTAGCTACTACAACTGCATCTGCAAAAATATTATGCATTTCACCAGCCTGCTAAATGAATCAGTTAGTTTTTCCAATAGAAATAGTTATTTCCATCTTGTAGTTTTTCCCTTCATTTGAACATACTGTTGATTCAGAAAGACCATTCAGACCAGTATATGATACTTTCTGGTCCTAGACTTACATAAATGTGTGTTTGGACAATAGAATATAATAGAATATAATATATACAAATTACATGTGAATCTTATGTATGATGTACATATAGGTAACGTAATTTTCTTGGTAAAAATATGGAAAAACAGTGTTCAATGTGACAGCTCCCTACCATTCACTCTACCTTGAGAAAGCTTAATCTTAGCTTACATAACAGCATCCTCCCCCTTCCTGTCTTCTTGGTCTTCCACAGTATTAAATAGTGGAAGTTCACCATGTTGTTAGGCAAGTGAGGAAATTGAAACACTGATATTAGACAGCTTATATGAATAGAAACCTATTTAAATCATCTCTTAGAAACTTGACTCTTAAGCCTAAATGGATGTCAAGATTTAAAGTACTAATTAGTACAACCTAATAACATTAAATCTGAGTTCTGGCATACAAGGAGGGGTAGGGTTGCCCCAAAAAATCCCTCAACTAATCTTCTGTTGTGTAACAATCCCCCTCAAGCCACACCACCCTGTTTCCAACTGCTATAAACACATACACACACACACACACACACACTGTCACAGAGAGAGCGACAAGAAAAGTATGTCAGTCAGTCAAGCCCACCCCCGCTGTTCACTCAAGCAGCGGTGCATTGTGTGTGTGCATGTGTGTGTGTGCATCCATCAGGGGTGAGGATGGGCAGAGAAGGGGTCTGGCATCCCGTCCTTAATCCTGTCTGATGAGACTCGAACGTAACCCGCTTTTATCCCCTGCTAAGAAACCACGCTCCTCTATCTCTTCGTTTCTGTCCGTCTGTCCCTCTGCGTCTGTAGAACTGGCTCATTTTATCTTGTGTCATGTAACTATTATTGATATTATTCCTAACAGCTTCTTTCTAAATTATCTGTTCATCTATCTGTCTTCTGGATCAGTGGATTAATACAGTCAGAGCTGTTTGACAGCAAAAGCTGCTTGTCCACATGGCTTTCTGGAGTCAGCGGTGTGGTGTGTAGGTCACAGAAAAAAGTCTGCATAATGTGATTATATCTATATGGCTGTTTGATTTTAATAGTCATACATAATCATACTCCTAAAGCCTGAAAGCATCCACGCACACACACACACGAGCATGCCCACAAATCTGTAGGTAAATGATTTGAATGTCATAGACCTTGATCCATTAAGACATTGCTATCACTGCATGTGTGTGGCACACACCTATGTGAGTGTTTGTGTGTTTTAATATCAATCAGTCCTGACCAGACCCCTCCCCCCATGTACCACCAGCAGCCGACTACATCAAAAATAATAAAGTAAATTACTCTGTTGCTCTATATCTCTCTCATCCAAGGATCCAGTGACACACTGCCAGGTGTTGTCCTACATTCAAGCAAACGCTGAGAGAGGCAAACTGTCACTCTGTACACAGTGTTTCTGTGTCAAACCTAAAATAAATTCTATCTACTCTTGATTGATTCATGGTTTGAGGAGATTGAGCCTCCCAAAGACCAACAAAACAGAGAAAATGATGTGTGCACATTATATAAAGGACATTTTATAACGGGAAAAATATCTCCAAACCACAAATGAACAGCTTAAAATGTTAATTTATAGAAGTAGACTATGATCTGGCAGGTGATCTTAATATCTCAATATAATAAAGTTAGCAAATTATGCAGAATGAAGCTCTAATGCTCATCTTTACATGTTGGTGTTCTCTATAAATGATGCCTCTACTATAACTGAGAAACTTTGAAATACAGTTCATTGCTTCACAGTGCTGGGAGAAAAAATGTGACTGTCTCCATAGTAACACAGGGATTTATACAGTGCGGTTAAACATGGTAAATGTTTTATTGTGATGATAACTTTGGTGATGCAAAAAATAAGCATACTTTGTTTAGATCTGTGTGGGTGTATTGTTGAAACTAAACTGAAACTGACTTTGTTTTGAAATGTGGTTGAAACCAGACTAACGAGGGAGTTGAGACCGAGCTTTGTTGGCTGTCACATCACAGCATGTTAGCTTGGAGATCAATGTTTTGGTCTTACCGAGAGTGCGCACAGGGTTGTTGATGTGGCTGGGTGGGCTGGCTCCATGTACGTTGACCGCCCTGACAACAAACTGATACTCTGTTTCCGGTAATAACCCCTTCAAAACCATGGAGTTAGTCACAATGGGCTCCCGAATATACGTCCACTCCGTGTCCATTTCTGGCCTGTGGAAAGACAAGACACACAAGCGATGCTTTTTAGGTCTGTTTTTTTTTGGTATGTCAATGTTTTCCTTTCATTTTCCTTCCTTACGTCTTCAAAACAATGGTTCAATATTTTGATGTGATCTTTCACATGATTCTGCAAAGTTATTGCAAAGAGTACAATTACAATACTGTAGCTATGAATAACTCACAAAAATACAGAATAACTTTTCAGACAAAACTAAAGGAACAATCAATTGAGATGTTTTTCGTTATGTTACTATTTTGACGGCCTTTACTTCTTTTACTCTAAGTCTTAACGCATTATTTTCTGCTTTAATCAGAGTTTTGGTTTGAAAACAGAGTGATGAACTCCTGAACTTTAATTTTTTTTCTGCCTATCATCTCCCGCTTCCATCTCATGATGCCATATTTGTGTGCTGAATCTGGGCGCCTGGAGCCACAACTATCTGTTGAATAGGGTCATCTTCACCACCACTCAATGTCTGTCTTCAGCAAGGCCTCTTTTGATATAAGTGAAGAAAGATTTGCCTCTGAGATGGCCCTTTTGTGTGGAAAATACCCTTGCATGCAAAAGCAGACACTGATTCGTGTCTGCTCTGTCACAGTAAGTAACAGTTTCTCTGCTTCAGTTTCTCTCACTTTGCTCAGTTTCGGGGTATTAACTCAGCACCGCATGAAGTACAACACTACTGTGGTTTTTTTAAGCTAGTTTCTTTTTTATCTCTAAAACGTTCTTTTAAACAATTATTACGGGGACATTTTTAAATTCTATCTGGCTTTTTTTTATTTGTGTCTGGCAAATCTTCAAAGGACAATTTATTTCTGACCTTAGGACTCCTTTAGACATTGGACATTCTTTGTGTGTGTGTGTGTGTGTGTGTGCGCATATACTGTTTACGTGTGAGTGAGACTGGACATTTCTAAGCAGAGAATGAAATCAATTATTTCTCAAGTACCAAATGACCCTCAAGTCAAAACAAAAATGGTTACATGCTGCAGACCAACAAAGGCCTCATGAAACTCACTGTAAAAGAGAGCTGCGTATTCTGTATCATTGTAATGAGACGATGAGTGGATGCAGAGGATCTGATAAAGGGAGGCCCAATGTGCAGCTGCATATACACACATTAATGTGCACAGATAAAAGTTAGAAAAGAACTGTTAAAAACTGATTTTCTCTTACGATGCTTCCTCTGTGTTTTGTTACAATGCCAATAAAGCACTCACATTTTACTTGAAAAAGAAAAAAAACATCATGCTGAAAAGCCTCATTTTTTATTCTGCCTCTTCTTGTTCCTTGTTCTATGCTTGTACATGAGGAAATTAATTAGTTAGATGAGAAGATCGATAGCACTCTCATATCTGCTTAACAACTTTAGACTCAACTGGAAGCAGCAGGAAACAGCTAGCCTGGCTCACTCCAATGGTTCAAAAGCTCACTAGCACCTCTATAACTCACAAATGTTGTATCTGTAAAGTGAAATATAAAAGCAACAAGCACCATAAGAGAGCACATAACTCCTTATGAAACCACAACTTGTTGTTTTAATCTTTCAGTTTGTGCATAGATTAAACAAAGAAGTCCTAATTTGTGAATTTTATAGGTGCTGATAGGTGGATTTTTTAACCTTCATACATAGCCAGGCTAGCCCCTGCTTCTAGTCTGTATGCTAAGCTAAGCTAACCAGCTTCTGGCTCCAGCTACATATTTCAACAAATTAAGCAAGTAAGTGAATCAATGTATTTCCCAAAATCTCAAACTGTTTTAAGATAACATTATTTTTCTGGCTGCAACCATACACCAGAAGCTGCACCAATCTTCAGCATCATCTTCAGAAAATTTCTTTGTAAATCTTTCACATTCGTGGATTGCTGACTAGAATTTGGGCTTGATCAATGCTTTGCCCTACAAAAAACATTTGTGGACCCATGAAGCACTCTGTGTGGTTATAGATGATACATGGAAGCAGTGTTTTAGAAAAAAGCTCTCTAAATTGTCTCTGAAGGACAGACGTCTTATCAATTAAGAGAACAGGAAGCCAATAAAACCAGTCAGCCTTTTCCCTTTCCTCACACTGCCAGTGATGGAACATGGGTTTTCACTTAGGCTTGTTCTCTCCCTCCATGGCGTGGCCACTTCAGGCTGCTCGTCACCTGAAAAGTGTCTATGTGGACTGGTTTGATGCTTGTATGTGTGTGACCTCTGTGTAATCGAGTGTGTGTGCAAATGTATATACCTGTAAATGTGTGTCTGTGTATTGGGAGCAACGCTGTGCTGGCGAGGTCACAAAAGGGCGGTTTAATAAATGTAAAGCTGATCAATCAATTATGACAGACCTGATGTAAGCCACCAGGAAGTGAAGGACAGGTGCACTTCCCTCACTCTCTCCTTGCTGCCATGACAACGCCAGCTCTGTGTCAGATACCGCCATGACGACAGGCGTGGTGGGGGGTGAAGGGGGCATGCACATTTCTGATGGCACAGAAAGAAATTGAAGTAAGTGAAAGATATTAACAATACTACGGTAGAAACAAAAGCATTCACTGTATTACTCACATATTCTTACCATGTGAAGCAGTGCCGATGTCTCTGGGCATGCTGGGTCTACCCTCCCCTGCCCAACCATATGCTCCAACACTGACTCTGTACTTGGTGTTCATCTTTAAGTTAGCAATGTCCACATCCTAGAAGACAGCATACGGGGGAGTGGGGGATTGAGATACAGATAGATATGGAAAAATAAGCAAGACAGTACATCAGCAAGGATGGTTGAAGCGAAATAAGATGGAAAAAAAGACAGAAGGCAATAAGAAAAATGAGAAAAGACAGTGGAAGAAGATTTAGTTACTGATTAGGGATTCTTTCTGAATGTAAGTGGGAAATAAGTCATATCCAGCTATAAATGTCAACTGTGATATGAAAGCAGTGATAGGGTCGTCTTCAGTAAAAAAGGACTAGAAGATGATACTCACAAAGCTTGCTTGTCCATCGAATTGCCCCTTTGAGAACATAAGAGCAGAGGTATCGATAAATGTTTGAGTATCACAGCGTGCACATTGTTATTGTTAGTCGATACACTGTCAATAATGTAGTTTTACATGTTATAGACTGATTTTCTAAAATCTTGCAAGATTCGATGACTTAACTTGATTTAACGGTCATTGTCTCAGAATATTAAAGGATAAGGCTTCAGTTATTCAGTTTCGTATTGTCAACAAAACCCATGTAAAGTAAAAAAAATATATTGCCAGCCTCGTCTTCTAAATGTTTGGTTTTTATTTATTTTCAGGCTAATGCTAATAATGTTTTTCTGTGTAGTGATAAATCAGCCCTGCAAAGACTTTGCTGGCGATCACAGCTGAGATTTCCCACAATGCCAAAATTGGATGTTAGAGGCAAGTTTGATGGTGATTTTAATGGAAATAATTCCATCGTATTCCAACAAATCAGCACAGTTAGAAGTCAGTGTACTCACAGTGGTTAGCATGTCCAAGCTTAGAGGCACCTCCATCAAAGACGCTGCACCCAATGGACGGCCATTCCTCACCTCTGTATAGAAGACCTGAAAAGCATACAGTCAAAGAGAGACACATTCAAGCACATATTTATATGATTTATACAAAAAAGTGTTAGATTCTTTCAGTAAAAGAAGCTGGGGTTGGCCACAGGGGTGGATCTAAAAAAATGCTTGGCCAATGCAGCTGCCACCCCAGGTTTGTGTCAAATGCTGTCAAATCTATTACTTTAATTTAGATAAATGTTTAAAAACAGAAAGTAATTAAATTACCTGTTATGGCACATGAAAAAAGATAAGAAAAGGATCTTTAATCCCACCTTTAAATATTTCTGCTTAATGCTGTGCATGTAATGTTTTTGCATTAAAATATCTTCATTTGAAGGCTTCACCAAGCAAATATTTGTGAAATATATATGATTGTTAGCAATTAAAACAGCATATATTTCTGCCACTACTTAAGGCCTTCATGCCACCCTCTTATCACCCCATGAACATTTCTCTAGATCTGGCTGTTTGGCAGGCGTAAATGTCATGTTCGTTATGCTGGATTACAGCACCACTTCTTAACCTTTCAGCTCTTACATTATCAATGTAAACACGGCATAATGAGGAGGAAATACTATGAGACAAACAGGATTACATATGAACTTCCAAAGTGATTGGCCAAATGAACACACATGTTTATCTGTGAGTCGTCGGGAAGCTAGGTATCTGACTAATCCTCTTAGTGCGGACATATGGTCAAAAGCAGAGCACACACAGTCATACTGATCCACACTTAATGGTTGACTCAAAACAAACACACGAGAGGAAGGAAGTAGGAAAAGAGGAAGGAGGGAAGAAAGGACGGAAGGAAACTAGGTTCTGGTAAGATATTATATCTCATTCAAAAAAATCTTAAAAACGTTTTGTCAGAATGAAAAAAGAAAGGAAAAGATTTCAGCATCCAGTAAACTTCCAAACATACAAACCAAAAATTACATAAATGTCTGTCCATTATGTTCTACCAAGAAAAAAAATATCTAACTTTAGTTCTCAAAGTGCGCCTAGAGTGAAGAAAAAAATCTGTTGACAAGCCACTAATAATTTGTGACCACATCCTTCAGAGACATATTGCCTTTGAAAAAGCATACATTTGGCAGTGAAGGGGTTCTGTTAAAATACCAGAAAAAACACCTTCAAGGCCACCCTGCTGGACAGCGAGTTTGACGGGCACTTTAAAAGCAGGAAAAAAACTATGCCGCCTGCCGAGGAAAGTGGGCATCCTTTCAGAAAAAGGAGAATAAATATGATTAATGACACATCTGAGAATTTTTTTTTTATGTTTGCCAGGTTGAAAACTTTAACCTAAAAAGAGTTCTCAAAAGGTGTAGGTGTGTGTTTTTAAGTTTGCTGAATATTTTTTTTTTCTCTTGGTTTTGAGCAGTTTGGGTTTTTTTTTTTTTCAAAACAGTTTAACATTACATTTACAATCATCAATGATATAGACTGTGTGGAGCATCTTACCTTAATATCAACACTATGTGGACAACTAGAACTTGTATTCCATTACATATGTCACTGAAAGATCCTGTTTCTGTACTGCTGTGTAAACTCACCAAATTCTGCTTGAATATATCAATAAAATAAAATTGGAAAATAATTGTGAGACAATCTGCCATACACCCTTTTTTCACTGACGTGAATCTAATATTGATAGTGACTGATAACCACAGCTTGTTAATATTGATCACACATTTAGCCGTCACTCTGATATCTAAACAGTACACACAGTATTTCTACATATGTGTTATTATTTAAAGGTCCAGTGTTTAACATTTAGGAGGATGTTTTAGCAGAAATTGAATATAATAATTATATGTATGTTTTCATTAGTGTATAATGACCTGAAAATAAGAATAGTTTTTATTTACAGAGGGAGTGCGTCCTCATCCACGTAGTCCGCCATGCTTCTACAGTAGCCCAGAACGGACAAACCAAACACTGGCTCTAGATAAGAAGTTTCATGACCAAAATAGTTTCACTCGGAAGGCTGAATTGTATTCCGTTCACCGCTCAATGCCACTAAATCCTACATACTGGTCCTTTAATGTAAAATTACTTTGTGGCTACCTTGTATCCAGTGATGGTGCTAACGTGTCGCCGGGGCATCTTCCATCGTACACTAAAGGCGGTGCAGTTGATTGTCTCCAGCTGGATGTCCAATGGGGGACTCAGGCGATCTGAAACACAAACACAGAGAGACATAATCAGTGAGCGAAACAGAAGATATACAAGGGGCAAAGTGCACTGTGCGTTAGGCAGCCACCAACTGTTTATTAGCTGTGATAGATTATTGATCCTGATTAATGTTAAATGTACATGGCAGCTTGTGACCAGTATATACAACGTTATGAGATTCTTTAGCATCTCAGTATCTTACAATGTTGTTTTTTGGCAAAATAGCCACTATTAGCACCAAACAGCAGACTGACAAAGTTAGTGAGAGTGAACACAGTGAAGCTTTGGTGTTGGTGGAACCAAAACTTTACATTCACCAGGCGGCTAGATATTAAACTCGACATGAATGTTAATGTTACTCTGTATATGGTGAATGTTTAAATAATTAAACTTTTTTGCTAACATTCATGAATTAAAATATGTCAGGGTTGTTTTTACAGCTTGTTTTCGATGCCCCCGTTATTATTTTTGTTTAATAAAGACAAAATACAGCAACCTTTTTGAACGCACCTTTACAACTTTAATCCTACAACTTCGTCCATGTCAAGCTTATTTTTGAGATAAAGAATAAGATAAAGAGTATAAATAGAAAGCAACTTTTAGTTTTCAGAATAAGTAGTTACAATTGCCAGATTATTACATATAAACGCTTTGTCAATGCTTTTAACAAAAGCAAATCTTTACAAATAGCCATCAAAATAGAATCTACACTATTTCACCTTAGTCTATTTGAGTGTGTTAAGAGTGTAAAAAGAACCATATGAAATTACATAACCTGTAGCTCGATAATATCAACTGACTGATTTCAAATGTCATTATTTTTATGGTCTGAGTTATTAAATCCTGGGTGCTTCTGTGACACTTCAAGAGATTGTGACTGCACATCCAGTGTCCAACTGTGGCCTGAAAACACTTGAGAAGCCTCTTATAGAAGAAAGACAGAGATCGAGCTATAGAGGTATAACTCATCAACACCCCTGATGACCTACTGTATATGAATTATCTGCCTTTAATGGAGAAACAGAAGCAGACAAGGACCCTTACGGCCTCAAGTCATACAATTTATGCCATTACATCTACACAAAGTAAAAGATTGTTACATTCAAACCATCAAAGAGCTCAGTAAAAGGCAGAATATCAAGATACAATTGCTATTTACAAATTATTTATTTGCAATTTATGAGTAGAGTCTGAAAAAGGTGTATTATCTCGGCACAGTGCACGGTTAAGGTAAAGAAGAGCTGCACTCAGCTGGGATTTAGTTCAAAATATTAGCCATAATTGACCTTCCCTTTTTAAAGCGACATAAGGGTAGAATTCCCTGGCATAGACCAACACGGGGATCAGACAAAAGTTAGTATAGCAAAGCAGATCTGTGTAAATTGAAATCTCATGTAGCTACAGCACTGCTCTTTTCCACTTCCTTTTTCTCTCCTCTTTATTTCTTGTGACTGCCCTCATCCACTTCCTGTGTCGACCTCTCTCCTGTCCTCCTGAATCCTCTCCTGTCGGCATCTCCCCTGCTTTCGCAAACCCTTCACCCTGCTCTTTCATCCGAGCGGGTAATTCAGTATGTCAGCTGAATTCCCTGATCGTCCATATCTCCCCAGGGGTGTGGCCCGGTGAACACACGGGTGAGCTGAACTCACAGAATTAGAGCAGATAGAGAAGGGACTTCTTAAATCATCATCTTTATGTCCATCAGCATACTGAAGCTTACAGAGGTGCTTCATGTGTAAGGAAGAAGTGAAACTGATATCTCTAATCAACCCAAATCCTGAATATCTTGACATAAATCCCTGAAACTGGTGGATTATTTTTGACAGGTATAACTAGTCTGTTGTGTCTCCTCCTTCCAGAAGCTTTTCTTAAGCAAACTGCATATTTTGAGCAACATTTCCCTGAAGCTGGAGTTTGTACACTTTTAATATTGTGAAAACACAACCTTCCAAACCAATTGGCAAGATACTCTGTGACCAGTGTAACTCTATAGCTCTGGGTGTATCCCCAAAAGAAGGAAAGTGGTGTCTGTATTTAAATACACTCCAGAATCACTTGGCTCCAACTCACCTAGAGCTGGAGATTAAATCTAGTGATGAAGCTCAGAAAAATTTTAAAAAATGTAACTGGATACAGGGGGCACATCAGCTACTGTGACTTCCACTGAAACTCCATTAGACTGGGCTGGTTGGCAATTCAATTTCAGGCGTTGCCCACTCTATACATTAATGGGAGATGTGAGGCCAGATTTCCCAGGTTAGATCAGGGGCAAATGGCTGCAAGGTACACTGGAGACCACTATTCAGAAAAAGGCCACAAGAGGCCACAATGTCCCAAAACCATGCGCTCTCATAAAGCCGAAACTCCATCATCTCATATAGTACACATCAAGGAACAGACTTTTTTTCTCAGGAAATTGCCAAAATTGCTCTCTAATCTGACACTTTTTGGCATTTCTCTTCTGCAACTGCCTGTAACTTATTGACTGCTATATAGACTCCAATAACAACATACTGTAAGACACTAATGTATTAACCGAAGATCTGTTTGTCAGTTTAAAACATGCAAATACAGACCCTCTTTAAATTTTTTCATGGGGTATTTACAAGAGAGGACACTAACCTTTTAATTTATTTTGAGATTTCAGTACTTTTCGGACATCTATGGCAAACAAAAAGGTGCTCTTATAATACTCACTTGATCAACAATTACCCAATCTTAAATTCAGATGTCTTCTTTCAGAACAAACCACCTGTTCTATCACTCTGATTCTATGTCTCCACTTTCATTGTCAGTCGTGTAGAAGTGCTGCTTTTTCCAGGTCTGAGTCATCCAAAAGTGAATGACCACTAAGACGCATGCTGTCGGGCTGCTCTTCAGCACGGCTTAGGGAATAATATATAAACACTGAATCTGAAAGGGGGGAGAGTCTTTATCATACTGGTTATATTTTCATTGTATTTCATAACAATATCGATGGTACTGAGTGACATGATAGAAAGGGTTATTTAAAATGCATGAATTTCCTAACATTTTATAGCAAGTGTAAGAAATAAAGCTACTGAATCTCTCTATAAATAATTCAGTTACTGATTCTAACTGGCCATAAAGCTGTCAAAACCCTGAAAAGAGTAAGACCACCTTGGGGAGAGACGTCTTTCAATCTTAACTCTTTCCTTGTACTATCAGCTTTGTTTTGTAAAGACTGATGTGATTCATCTAGACATGGAGCACTGTTGACATTCCCTCAGAATGAGGCCTGAAAGACCTCAAAACAGAAAAACAAGTACAAATGTCACTGGCAGTCATGAAGACTGAACTACAGCCGCCCTCTGTGTGGCAGTCCCAACTGTGGTGAGTTTTCTTGTGCTGACAGACAGATGTAATAGTTGGCCTGCTATGGCCTGCGGGTCCGAAAGAGTGAGGGAGGGAGAAATACGACAGACAGTCAGAGAGACTGACAGCGGGAGAAAAAGGAAGTGATGGAAAGAGAGAAAGAGGAGGAAAACGGAAGAAACTGGGACGGAAAAAGTGTTCAGGGTGACAGGACATCAAAGAAAGATAGAGAAAGGGGGAGAGAGAGAGAGTAGAGACTGAGGAGGTGACAAACTCAGCATCCAGGGACTTTCTGCCCTAAGGAGCACTTTGCCGAATTTGCTGATGGGTTTGCTGCTGGTCTACAGCTGAATATTTCCCTTTCTGTCTCTCTTTCTTTGACACATATTTATATATTTTGTAATTTCATTATATGAACTGTTTTTATCAACACAAACATTGTTTCCTCTTAGCCATGGAAGTCCTGCCTAAAATGTATCTGTATTTTTTAAGTGTTAAAATTACAGTTACTGTGGACAATTTGCAGCTCACTGATTCTGGGTAAAATGCAGTTTTGTGCTGCTGCTCAGTGACTCAAAGCACCATAAAGAAAGAGAGGTGGGGGCCTTTTTTTTAAACGGTCTGTTAACATGTTGCTCAGTAGCTTTTGCTGCAGAATAATCACTCTTAGGTTGTATAAACAGGGATACAGTGGAGATTACATGATGATGATGATGATGATGATAATGATGGTAGTGTGTTTTCCTTTTGATGCACATCCATCAACCAATTTTCTTGCATTTATCTTCTCATACTGGAGCTTTAATGACTTTACAAGTTTAAAACTGTCACTTACATTGCTGTGATCTCTGTTTAAGGTGAATTAATGTTTGAAAGCAGGCTTAATGATGTTTGTGTAATCAAACAAATGGAAAGATAAGCACACTCAAACGCTGCCCTTATGCACAATCTTTCAATATAAACTATTGTCATTGTTATTACTTGTCAAATCTGGTATAAAGGTCAGTGGGTGAACTTACCAGATCTCCGAACATTTGATCTTCTTGCACAAAAGCAAACGCTGGCTGTGCATATCGCAAAGAGAAGTAAGTATAAAAGACTCCTTTCTTTACATGTAGGTTCCATGTCTTCTTCTGGTCGAAAGTTTAAAACGGTCAGATGTTCATTTTATCACACATTAAAACGCGCTTCTAGCTGTAAATGCAACTAATACCTTTGCTGACAAAATTCTTATCTAATAAAAATCGTTCTTTTATCCAAATTTTGGCGCAAACGCCATCCAAAGACAGGCAGAAACTGCCCGAGAGGAAAGGGCAGCTACGGTTTGACACTGATAAGATTACAGTCTGCAAAAGATCAGTGGGTTGGACACATTAACGGACGGACAGACAGCCACTGTGCCCCAACAGGCGCGCTGATAGACGATGGAGAGGGTTGTACCGACAATTCGCGCGTAATGCGCAACGAGCAACAACTACAACAACTGAATGGTGAATGGCACGATCATTTTTGCGCATAAATCTCGCTTTCGTGTCACGCTCCGGTCCGCGTCTCAGACAGCAGATGAGACGGACAGCGAAGTGCAGGAACGTGGGGCCATTTAGAGCTAAGAGGATAATAAGCCTCTAATCCGCACACTGGACACAGATGGAGAGCGTGTCTTGACGCAGAAGCAGGGGAGCCGCTCAAGCAACAGACATCCATAAAAGTATACATCGTGTGTGTGTGTGTGTGTGATTGACTGACTGTGTGTACAACAATGGCTAAAGGGGGCAAACAATTAATCCAGTAATTAATGTCCCCCGAAAGCAACTGTTAATATGTGACTAACCTCCCAGCTGATTGTGTATTATTTAGTGTGGTCTCAACATGAAAAAAAGTACACTGTCAATCCAATATTTCTTAATAAAAGAAGTAAGTTATGATAACTTAATCCCCCCAAAACGTTTGAATCACTCATTCTCATTAACTAAACCCAACTAAAAAATGAATTGTCGAAGTAATAACTCAGTTGTTTTGTGTGAACTTAAATTTGTGCCATATTTTAAGTATATCATGTATATACATATACATATATGTATAAGTATGTCAAGTATAACTGTAAGCCCTAAAGCCCCAACATTAATTGGCTACTGATAGAAAAATGCTGACTTCATAGTGCTCATGTAACTCTGATGATTTTGTACCTTGTTTTGCAGAAAAATGCAAAAAATGGTCATAATCGAGTAATTACTAAAAAAGTAATAGTTTGCTTTAGTGGTAGAAAACTGCATGACTTCAATTTAAGTGGTAACATTTCTATAAAGAAGATGCATTTATGTTAGCCTTACTTTATTCAGACAGATACATTCTGTTAACACATTTTAAATAAGTCTGGAGAAATGCTGCATGTGATCGTAATGTACAACCAGTTTGAGTTGAACTAACTCATCAGCTTTTACAGTGTACAGTTTGGGGCAATTTTCTTATTAAGGAGAACTATGAAAAACAATGTAGGCACAAATAGTAGCAGGCACTATTAACACTGATAAAGTAAAAATTCTGAGTTGAAGAGCCTTCACTATGATGGACTTGATGAACATGCAGTTTTATCTATTACATGTTCTGCACAAATCAGCGTCAAACAGTGCTGTAGCCAGTAATTTCCCCCAAACTTTTCCTCTAGGTCACATTTTCAACGTTTTTCTGAATTATTATATCACATTAGAAGCACCGTGGCAGAAAAATCTAACCAGCAGCCAGGAACCAGGCTGATTTGTTACTTCATTTTCATTTTCACTCTGCTGGTTACCCACTTAGACCTAATTTTCTGAGCCAGGCATATTCTACCTTCATGCAAAATGAGAATGTAAAATCCAGCAGTTACTCAAGCCATCAATTTGCACGGAATAATTTGAAAAACCTTTTATCTAATTCTGATCCAATGTTTTTTTTCCCTGACCCCTACAGCACAAAACATCTTTCCAAGGAGAGATTTTCAAATCTTTATGGTCTGCAATAACGGCACAGTAGCACACCACCCATTCACGAAAGCCTTACAGACAGCGTGAATTGCGAAGGTAGAATACTGTTATTAAACTGAGGCCAAGAAAGATTGGAGGTGAATATCTGAGCTGTAATGATGAGATGTCTGCATGAGTTAGGGCATGACATGACAGCTCTCTTTTTTCCATATGACCACTGACACTATGTTTTAATGGTAAATGGCTTTGCAATTTTCCTCTTATTCACACTCAGCAAGCTATCATGCAAGGTGTGTTTATAAGCAGTATATAAACATTTAATGTACTGGTCAACATTGCTAATGGTGCAGAAACAGGTGACAATACAATGACAATACAATATAACACACGTAACCATGTAAAAATGTCTTAAGAAAAGTTATAGTAGTTGATAAATATTGTACATCAATAAATACTTAAATGTCCTTTTATCTGCACACAACTACGTTATAGTCCATTTTAAACAATTAAATGTTAATATACTATATATGAATGCTAAATGAGGAGCTGAAATAAAATGCTCCAATTATCGTTGGATTCTGTAAAAGTTGGCCTCAAAAGTCTGGTATCAGCTGAGCTATAAGTATCTGAAAAGTGCAAAAACAGAAACATTTAGAGTAAGTAGTAGCCTGGGTAAGTAGAGATAAAATCTAATCAGAAACCACCAACACTTTTTATTTTTTAAATATTTATCAGTTTTCTGGTGTTGTCCTCCTTTATGATATGCAGCCATCAGTTCACCAAAAGAAAATCAACACTGCCAATCATAATACAAGACCTACAAGATGAACACATCATCAGATCAGTCTTACTGAGAGAGCAAGAGTTAATTTCTGTTCCACTTTCTTTCATTCTTTTCCACATTCACATGTGCCACTTCTATTAATCATATGCTCTCTGGGTCACAGAGGCAAGATGTGAACTGATTATTCCAGTTTCTTCACCTGCTATTATCAACCAATCTCAAAATATCACACAAACAGCCAGAGCAGAGGGTGAAGGGAGTGAAATATCACCACTGTTTTGGAGAAACTCTAAAGACTACAGGAAGCTGATTTTATGCAAAGATAACCCTATATTTTAGACTTGGTATACAAATATTTTTTCTTTGTAAATGAAATGATCAGATCAAATGTTTGTGTTCTTGTGTCCTTTTCTTACCCATTAACATCTCTTCTCAAATTTTTATGAAATCCCCTTTTCTGCTTTGATTACCGGTTTTTATAACCTTTATGTAATGTATAAATTTGATGAAAATTAATTCTCTGTTATATGTTTTCATTGTGTTATTTAACGTAACAGTGCTCAGTAGACTTACCTGGTCCCCCTTGGATAGTGTTGTCCTTATATTTTTATTTTACACTCTACCAGGATTCAGTTTGTGGGTTGAAAATAAATATTGGACTCATAAAATGCCAGGTCCAAGGTTGGCAACTGAAGCTTGTGAGACACCTGAAAGAGATTCAGTAGTAATGGCTCCAATGGTGTGTTATAAGGTCACATTATCATATGTTTACACACATTCAGATTCTAGTAGTTATTTTAGGTAAACACTGATCCTGTGTATACTGTATTTTTTATAAATCATCGTCCATCATAAAAAGAAAAGAAAAGAAAATGTCTGCTACTAACAATAAATATAGAAAAAAGTGAGATAAACCAAAATGAGTTGTATGTCTGTTTAAGTGAATACCAAAATTATAACAAAACTTCCTACACTCCATAATGTAACAACTGAGGATGATTATGAGGTTTAGTATGATAATAAGCGTGTGTCCGAGATGATGGTCACTGTGTTGCATGAATGGCGAACCCAACTCACTGGTTCCATCTCCTGGACAAACACAAACACACAAGACATAATGGAGAGACTGAAGGGAGAACAGCAACACAAACAGAAACGATGCACTGGCAGGCGCATACATAACCCCAAAAGAACCCCACATCTCTACACATATAACTGACACACAAACAACTAGCACATCTATCTCTATAACATAAATAATAAGCTAACAAAACAGAGCTAACTTAACCAAGAGGGAAATTAAAAGGTAGCTTTCAAATTAGACTCTTCCAAGTAAAGACATTAATTATTTTTCAGTTCAATAAAAATCAAGCAAATAAGCCAGACTAGTGGTTCAGAAAATTGTTTCCCTCAATAAGAAAAACAACAGCCTGTAGTCAAAAGCATGCAGCTTGATTTGTCAGATGTTTGGAGAGCTAATTTGTTCTTTCCCATCAGACTACGAAGATCATTAGAAATATGATGATACATTGATTTCAGTCTCAATTTCAATCAGTAGTTCTCTCAAACCTCAAAAGCTTTTATATCCATATATCCACATTCACATTCTGAAGACATATTTCATGTTAACACATTGTATATGGATCATAATCATAACAATTGATTAAAAAGAAATAATACAGCATTAAGTTGAAGTCTGTAAATCATTGTATTTAAACAAGAGATAAAGAATCAGACCTCACCACTGTGTTGTTTTATGCTGTAAATGTGTAACACACATTGGTATTAACAGTGGTGAACAGCGTCCACTAGTGGCAGAATCTAAGCCCTACATGCACGTGTGTGTGAGCAGTCAACACATCTGGAGGTTCACTGTTTTCAACCCGGTTTCTAATCTGCATTAGAAATTACTGAATGTAGTGTTCACCACCTGTAATTCCTCAAATCAGACCAGATCAAATCATTTTGGTTTTACAGTCACCCCAGCAGGCAATAATGTCACACTTATTACAAAACTGGGGACAAACATGGAGTAAATTGTCTATTTGCTTAAACATCCTAACAGTAATTGACCCCATTTTAACATTTCTGAGCCGACTCCCAGCGGGTCAGCTCAGCAGACGGCATCCACTCTCACCCTGAGGCTCCAGCAGCACCAGAATACATATGGTGTGGATTACTTTCTAAGCACCACTGTGGGTCCCTGTGGAGGTGATTTTTACCATGAATACAATCATCCTATCCAACACCCAAATCTATGAATAGTGATAAAATCATCAACAAGAAAACTTCTTGAGCTCAAACGAACAATAATTCAATGATTTCGTGCAACACGCATGACAGTTAATGTATATCACTCCCTATGCTGAAAAAGTGTATATCATACTGCTACGAGTACAGTGACAAAGGAATTCACGGTTATAGACCAGTTGATTTCCTAATAACTGGGCAAACATTTCAGATTATTTCCTTATTCTTGGCAACTTTCCATTTTAAATGCTAATGTAATGCACATCCTGAATTAAATTAATCCAAAGTGACTTGAGTGCATCATGCTTAAAGTCGACTTTAAGGGCTAAAAGGTGATCAGTTTCCCCTGCCCCTGTGCCATAACCCAGGCAGCTGCTTGGGGATATATACAAGCTGGCTGTACAATGGCTAATGTCAGCATGCTAACATTTGTAACACAAAGGCTGACGGGAATGTCGATAATTTTGCAGGTATTTGGTCATAATCAAATGATTGGAAAAATGTACCTATTTGACTTGATGATGACCTGAGGGGGACATGAATGTGCGTACAAAATTTCATGGCAATCCTTCTAATAGTTGTTGAAACATTTCATTCAATAACACAAATGTAAGGCTCATGATGGTGCTAGATGAAGTCAGTAAGTAAGTGACAACTTTGACCCGCCGTTGGTGCTAGAGGAAACGTAAGGGGATCACCAAAGTCATTAGGGTTCATCCTCTGGGGACCATGAATGTCTGGACCAGATTTAATGGCAATCCATTTAGTAGTTGCCATCCCTACAACCAGCTAAAAACAAGCACAGATTCTCCTCCAACTATGAGATTAAAATACACATAAATGTAGAAAACAGGACAACAGGACACATTATCACGATCTCCCCACTCCTCCTGTCAGTGTGGAGAGCCAGGATGTTATTTTTTCTGCTAATTACTACACTGCCATGTCCCAAATCAGACGTCCATTCCAGCTGTCAACTCCTCCCTCCCATAAGTCGATCTGGGGAAGCAGTTTCATGTTGGCCGATAATGAGGGGTGAAATGACCCGTGCAATTAGCCCGTTACATGTGAGACAAAATCAGCCTCAAATATGGCTGACAGATTAAATTGCAGATCAGTCCCCGATTAGCCCTCAGTCCTTTTAAGTAGGGAAACGGACATCTGTTCGGTGTATTTGTTGTAATTGCTTGAGGATGCTGTATTTCCATACAGTTAAGTGAGCAAGTCAGTGGAATGGGAAGCCTCTTCTGAGTGATTACTAAAAAGACAACTGTTGCACTGTATGACATATATTTGGAGCATATTTGGCTGCTCTAATGGTTTTTGCATGTCCAGTGTAGTCAAGTGATTACAATACAATGTGGCCAACATGTGTGCATGCACTGACACAAACATGATTCTTCATGAAACATTACACTTCAAGGGTTGCATGGACGTGTATGTGTGTTTTTGGATGTGCATGGATACACAGTATGTATTTAACATTCAACCTTGTAAAGAGGAAACAGCTTTATTCAGGTCAGCTGGAGAGCAAATATGAACATTTCTAATCTTTCTGGAAAGATTTTGCTGGGGGAAAAAAATGTTTGTGTGTATAGTGGTACATTTTATTCACAATAGTCACTGCAGAAGAAAACAGAAAGTGAAGGATAGTCCTGCTTCTTAATAACACATGTGACTTCTTCTTGTTAATAATAATGAACAATACAGTAGAGAAAGATTGGCACATTTGCAGGGATTCAATATGCCTGAGTGCATAAAGTCTTTGGTGGGCAAACCATGGGTGGTCGTACTGGGGTCGAAGTATGAGTGATAGTCAAATGCAGCTGGTTGGCTATTTGTTCTCTAAAAATACCAATATTTAAGCACCTTGGTTGCTCAATTCTTAGAGCTGGCACCCCATGTACCAGGACTGAGTCATTGCTGCAGCGGCCTTGAGTTCAAATCTGACCTGTTGCACTTTGATGTATGTTGTCCGCTCTCTCTCTCTCTTTCCCTTTTCTGTCCATCTCTCCCACTCATATTATGTATATGGGGCGGTGGGTGGGGGCCAGTAGGGTGGCCAACAATTGAGTCAGCGAGGTGGTGCCCCCGAATGAAACACTCCAATGCATCAGTGATTGCAGTGACGGTATAGTCACTTGCTTGGTCATCTCCATATAACTGAACTGGACCTTGTTCCATCTGGACCTTGAATGGTTTACATTATCATAGATGTATGCACTATTTGCTTTGCTTACCCTGAACAAAAACTCTTAAAACATTACAGCTGTAGAGTGCAGTTAGTTTTACTGTGGCGTAGACTAGGGTCAAATAAACAACTTTTAACTACTATTGGAAGGAAAGCACTTGACACGCAGGCACATAAACTCCTCAGATCACTTTCACTCATCTTTGCTCTGGTTTCAATCATCAAACACAGTTTCGCTCCTAAACCGCTGCCTTGTTATGTTCACCAATAAAGATTATGATGGAATTTTCTTTACAGTCTCATTGATATTATTTCACATGAGTACAGAGGGAGCAGTGGAGTTGAGGTCACAATGTGACAACAGAATGATTAGATCTTTTGCATAATTCAATGTAAAGTTTTCAGTTTCTTATTGACACTCACTATGGCTGGGTTACAGCCCGGGCTCCCAACGGCAGTTTGCAGTTGTTTAATGTGTTTAACAGGATCACTCAAAAAAAAACACATGTGCAGTAAGCTGATCCATATACAGTTTGTTGTGTGTCTTAGCAACATTATATCATAGAATTCTACTTATAAAAACAGGCAAATAACCAAATTTCAAACATGGAATTATTACCCAACAAAAATTGTAGAAAAATTGACACTTCGACTGATTTTAATACAAATGTCTTTAAAATGTTCTTTCGCACCTTATGAGCCTGTGGTTTTTGCATAAACTTGAGCCAAAAGAAATACTAACACTTTGCTCTGATTATGCAAAACTCTGCAACCAAAATAACGTATACTCAAGTTAAACATTGAGTTCCTGTAATGGATATCAGCTCAGACTCCCTCGATGTTAAACGTCATCTGCTCATCAACTGCAAAACAGCGGGATTTCCATCGCACTGTGGTTATAAGTAGCAACACAATCTATTCAGTCTGTTATGACTGGCTGATTAGAAACACATTTGCCATCCAATATCAACCAAACACAAAAAGCAGGCCGGGGGAATCAGGACCATTGTTAGTGGAAAGTGTGAAACTTCTCTCTCCCTCTCAGCCATCTGAGCCTCTTTCATAACAGACCTCCTCTACCCTCATCAACTCTGGACCTCAAGTTCAATCATGAGTTTGGACTTCATCCCTCTGTGTGTGTGCAGTCTGCATGGGTGGAGACAGGAAGAAACAGAGGATGGACCATCACACGTCACCACCACTCCCCATCTCCCCTGTTAGACCTCTCTTTCTCCTCCTCACGGCTCAGTCAGGATTGATGGTGAGAGGGGATGAACGGGAGTGAATGCATTGTGAAACCGGTTGAAGGACTATAAACTGGGAGTGAATTTTGTCTTCCAAGCGTCGTTGTATCCGTCGGTTTGCAAACAACTTCATAAGGAAGTCTGCTTGGCTTTGCATTGTGCGCTCCTGCCTTTGATTTCGTGCCTCTTTGGATGTTGCGCCACGCTGCACAGCATTTGCCAGCTGACATGTGAGTGATAGCGTGCAGTATACAGTACGCAGACAATAACTCATTGATCCTCAGCGTTTTCAGTGCCAGGAACCCGAGCTGATGAGTGCGCCCCACCTCTTCCTCTCCAAATATTAATCTTCAGTATGTTGTTTACCGCGTTTGCCAGATGATACCTGTTGATTTTGCATCGCGCCATGTCCTTCTGTCGGACTGAAGTGGACAATGAAGTTATGGGATAGCCTAACCACTTGTTTGATACTGCTGAGTGCCGTGCACGCCAGCTCGCTGCTCCGGAGCCTACAGCAGTCCACGTCCACCACCAAGAGGAGAGGGCGCGCCGCCGAGAGTCCCCTGGAGCTCCCGCCGGTTCAGATCCGCCTGTCTGTCACTTCCCCGGGCATCAGCCGTGCTCAGGCGGATACAGCAGACTGGGAAGAGAGGCTGGCTGGAGGAGAACAATGTAAGAGCCAGTGGTTTAATATGGAGTGCCCAAAGTGCCAAAAAAAAACACCCTGTAGTAATTTGCTCTCAGCAGGCTTTCTGTGTCTTGAATTCTTTGTACTTCTTAAACAAATAATGACATTGCTAAGTGTCCAATAGAAGTAATAAAATAGAGTGCATGATTGAGTGGAATCTCATAAAACATGCTTATTAGTCTGTGAAAGAATGATCAACTAAAGATTATTTTTATTATCGATTAATCTAATGATTATTTCTCATCGTTTAGTTATTAAAAGGTACCTGTAGCAATTCCTAGAGCTGATGGTGGCATCTTCAAATTGCTTGTTTTATCTGTCTGCAACTTAATTATACTCAGTTTACTGTCACGAAGGACAAAGAAAAGCAGCAGTCCTCACAAGTAAGAAGTTGGAACCAATTTTTGCAAAAGATTACTTCACAATTAAGTGATTGTCACAATAGTTGCTAATTAATTTTCTGTCAAATTCACCAATTGATTATTTATTTTAGCTCCAGAGCCATGTGCCAAGAGGGTAGCCTACATAGTGGCTGCTGTGTCTTTAATACACTCAACAACTGTCTTTAAGAATTAAGAATGGGATCCATTTGTAACTTGGATGAATCAGTTCAAAAGGAATTCCTTTGCAGAAAAAAAAAACGTGTACTATTTCTACATTTGTGTGTGTATTTTCTGACACAACACTACATCTGTCCAATAGCCAGTGTGGTGTGTTCAAGTGAAACAATGTGTGCTGTCCACTATGATACATCCTTGTAAGAGTGCCATTACTCTTAATGTGTTTCAGACACCATGGAGGAGCTCTCCCTAAACAAGTTTGAAGATGTGGTGGACTTCATAAAAGTGACCATTAGTAGAATACGGCGCTCCTCCTCATCCACCGTGTCCTCATCTACCTCCTCCACCACCTCCTCCCCATCCAAAGAAAACTTGAGCAGCCGGACTCGACGAAGAAGGGAGAGGAAGAAGGGAGCTAGTCAACAGAGTGGTAATGGTGGAAGAGGAGGAGCTAGAGGGGGAGAGGCAGGGAGGAAGAGTAGGGGAAGAGGAGGAAATGGACGAGGACAGGGCTGTGTGCTCAAACAGATCCACCTCAATGTGTCGGACCTTGACCTGGGCTATCGCTCCAGCGAGGAAATGATATTCAGGTACTGCTCTGGACCCTGTAGGAAGTCTGAAACCAACTACGACAAAATCCTTTACAACCTCGCTCACAACAGGAGGCTTCCACCAAAAGACACGCCCCCTCAGGCTTGCTGTCGGCCAATAGCTTTTGACGATGACCTCTCGTTTCTGGACGACAACCTTGTCTACCACACCGTGAGGAAGCACTCTGCGAGGAGGTGTGGCTGTGTGTAGGGAGTGTGAGCTGGTGTCAGGCCTTGTGTAATTTCACATTCACTCCCTCTTAGAAGTGTGATGTTGAGTGTTTTTCCTTCTCATTATTTTCGCTGTGAGGAAACTTTCTGGCATTTCGTGGTCAGTAATTAAGGACAGGAAGTGTCATCATTACAGTTTAAACCCCAAAGTAATGATTCCTAATGGTCTTCTTCTTCTCATAATTGGCTCAGTCACAATATCCACAGTTTCCTTCATACCATGTTTTCAGTGTGATCTTAAATGTTTCCATGGATGCTCAATCTGAAAGGACTGAAATCAATCAGACACAACGGATTCAGCAGACTCACTCTGTCTACTGTATAGCACATGTGTAATATGGAAAAATGTATAAACATGTGAAATGTATTTATGAAATCTTGAATGAATTAACTTATTGATATTTATTTTGTTTTTATAAAAGGAATACATGTTATTTATTACTGTAATGTGATATCTCAGAGTGTGCCAAAGGTTTAAATCAAGTTTGATTTATTTCCATATCAAAGCAGTAAAAGACTGGGTTTACATTGCAAAATGATCTTTTACACATCAGGAACTTATGTTAAAGGTGCCTGTGGAGTTGTCTTGTAAACAAAGTTATATTTGTGCATTCAGTGTTTATTACCAAAACACATTGTGTGTATTCTAATCCTAACAAATGTGTTCTTCCTCATAAAAAGCAAATCAAAGCAGATTTTTAATATTTTAAATCTCTGTAAAGGTTTATCTAATCACCCACATGCTAACACACATGCATGTGCATCCTCAAACAACAAGGGGACCCACTCTTAAAAACATGGCTCCATAGCTTCTAGTGGTCAAAAACTCCACAGGACACCTAAATTCTCCCTGAGTATCTTAAAGGTGTCCTGTGGCGCAAACAATGTTGGATTCAGTGTTTCTCACCAAAACACATTATGTGTATTCTTGAGATCGAACAAACAAGTTGAATACATTTTTTCCTCATCAAACATTAACAAAGCCGATTTAATAAAATATTTTAAGTTGTGCATTGTTCAAATCCATGTTCATTAGCTTGCAGTCTTCTTCTTTGCCTTTATTGCCACATTACTACGATTATTTGCTTGTTACAGCCACCAGTTCAGCAGAATATCTGGAACTGGCAGAAAGTGTATGCCTGTGTGGGGACCCAGTCTTAAAAGCATTGCTGCTGGTGGTCAGAAACTCCACAGTGAACCTTTAAATTTGAAAACCTTCCATACTATCTTAATGTTTACAATGTGCTACAATTTTAATGTCATTTGGCTGCATTGTTTCCTGTTTATTTTATTAATGAGGTGATAAAAGCTATATTTCAAAACATTTTGTTCTTATGATTAGAAGAATAGTTGTTATTCACTGCTAATTTCATGTCCTCCTCTCAGATGTCCTCCTTGCAGCTTTATTTTTATACGGTATTCACTTTTAAATTGTCCCATTTAGTTGTTAATAAATGCATTCTAAACAGTGTAGTGTATTCTGCATCTAATTACTGACAGGATTTGAACAGGATTTAGTGTTTCTAACATTACTCCATGTGGTTATTACGTAAACTTAATAACAAAAATAAGCTGAGGTGAAAACTGAACCTTGAACCTGAATGGTATAGCACAAATTAATCATTGTATTTCTGCCACTTTTTGTGTAAAAGAGGCAGAGGAACAAAAGCTTAATAGTGCATTAGGGATGGACTCGTCTATTGAGTCCTTTGTAGTGTATAAAAAGATGAACAGAATCTGATGTTATCAAATGACAGTAACAGACATTGAACACAAAGAAAATGCAGTATCCATACATGCAGTACAGCACAGCACCTATAGTATAAGGATAAAAAGAAGGTGAAGTGGACAATGAGGTATGGAAGATAGATGAATGAAAGACGAGAGTGAAAAGATCTTACAACATAAAGAAAACCACATGGAAGAATTGAGTTAAGAGCTAAAGTATATGTTGAAAGAGAGAGGGAGGACAATGAAAAGACCGTATGATTAAAAGGTGGCGAATATCCAGAGAAGACAATGATGTAGGAGTTAGAGAACATGAGAAGAAAAGATGTGTCTTGCTTAACTAATGTGTGTGGTCGATATCTGATCCATCCCCTGCTCTCTCACATTTCACACCCCTCCGTCTCCTGAGCTGTGAGTCAGTGCAGCCTGGTTCAACAACTACAGGGCAAAACTGTGCAAGCCGAGTCTGTTTTTTTTTTCATATGCAACTCATTATCTCTATGAACGACACTGTGATTCTCTACACCAGTCATGCTCAGAGTCTGTGATTAATACAGTTTGACAGTAAGGGTTTCACTGATAGATATATTCAGCTCTCCCATCTGCTCTGTGGGCATTATAAGATATTTAAATGTTAAACATATCCCTATGATAACATTATGATAGTAGGTGTCTATAGATAGAAACGGGTCATTCTAAGGTAACAAAATCACGATTCCTATATTCAGGTGATTTTACACTAATGAAAACATACTTATGAATATTTTTACCTTAAATTAAAATGAGCGTCAAGTTGAATTTTATTTTGAGCTTCCTTACTTTTTGGTCCATTTAGAAATACAGTACACATAGAGTGAGTCAACACTTTTCCACAGCCATTACTTCTATTTCTCCTACTCATTATTTTACTTTCCAAGCCACAGATGATGCAGTTGTACTGAAGAATTAGAGTCAAAAACTTAATGCATAAACATTTTTTAAAAACACAACACCCACAGTGTGGCTTGGCCAAATGTAATCTGTAGTCTAAAAGGCTACCATGGGACCAATTAAATATATTCTTGAGTTAACCATGACGGTGCCGAATGGTTACCGGTCCCAATGTGGAAAATACACACAACAAGCTCAGCAGCTTTAGCTTGAAACCATTAGAGCCAGCTGACAGTCAGAGGATAGCGTCATTAGTTATATGAGTCTTCGTCTCTTTTGTTCAAGGTGTGAGAGGAGCTTGTAATGAAGGATAATGTTGCACCGGAGTGTAATACAACACAAGTGCTAGCGGTTAAAGGGGTGGTGTTCCTAACAGGTGGTAAATACTGGCAGAACTGTACGTGTTGACACACTGATGATACATTAAGAAAGAGTTCAAAGGGTTGGTTCACCTAAATTACAAAATAACAGTTTCTCTTTTACCTGTGGTGTTGTCTGAATTCATTCATGTTCATTGTCTCCAAAATCTCAGAAGAGCGTATATGGATATCTCCAAAAAATTGCAAATAAAAAACATTTCTAATTTGTCAAACGTTTTGTAATTTAGGTGAACTGACGCTGAGCTTAAAACAGCCAACCAATTCTTCATTAAAGGTCCACTGTGTAGGATTTAGTGGCATCTAGCGTTGTAATTGCATATCACTTCACCCTCCCCTTCTAAGCACGAAGGAGAAATTACGGTGGCCATGAAAAATGTGAACGCCTCTATCTACAGCCACTGTTTGGTTTGTCCGTTCTGGGCTACTGTTGGCGATGCAAAGTGACCCATATCTGTAGATAAAAATGTCTCATTCTAAGGTAACAAAAACATAACGATTGCTATATTCAGGTGATTATATACTAATGAAAACATAGCTGTGGATATTATATTCCCCTTATGACAATGTATCATCCTAAATGTTTCACATTGGACCTTCAAGCATTAAACAAAAGCTTGTAAAAAATGTGAATTAATGAAAGTAAAGAATAACAAGATGAAAGCTTTAAATTATTATATTATATGAAAGGCTTATATGGATATTTTCCATATGGATATTTTTACTGAGTAACTGCTACAGCAGCTGAGCAGTCAAAGTCCTTTTGTAGTAGTTATTTAGAGTAAAGAGGGCATGTGAAGTTCATTTCTCCCATGATTTCTAAACCAATCTGGTGACACTGCAGTTAACAGTCGACCTCTCAGACTTTCAGGAGAAAAGCCAGCTTCTTTTGCCTCTAAACCTCTAGGTTCATGATGGTTTCAAGCTTTATATTATAAGTTCTATGTGGGAGCTCAAATTCTCATCATTCAATTCAAATCAGTGACCAGCTTGTTTACAAGAGGAAGCAATTGTGGGCAGATCCTTGTCCACCACCATTGTGCCAGCTGGCGTGAGAAAAGATACAAATGATAACTGAAATGTAATTACGGTTGTATCAGACATGTCGTGGGTCTTCTTGAGAGATCTGTCAAACCACAAGAAACTCTTTGTACGACTCTTCTGGAATCTGTCAGTATGACTCAGGCTATATGACGAGTCAATTGTAAAGACAACCACAGAAAGAGGAAGGATTGGCATCACAGATGAAAATAATACAGCAATTCAAGACGTATGACGACAAAACAATACTGATGCTGTCTCACCCTGTTTTTAAGATCAAAAGAAGCTCCAAGATCTGTTATCTTCTTACATTCACAACTGATAAAAGTCATTTTTCTTTTCATGAGGTTTTTTAATCAGAAATTCTCCTTATCTTTAAAAGCCTGAAGGTTGTAAAATGTAAATAAAAAAGGAGAGAGGTTTGGTGCCAAAGTTCTGCTATATTATAATACACAGTTTAAAGTATAAAGATAACACTAGCATTTTTATAATTCATACAAGAAACAGGCCCACGACCCGTTCAGTGCTCTAAGTCATAGTTTAAGAAACACTGCTGTACTGTCATTGGTCTGGCTGCAACACAAAGCAGAGGCAGAGGGGATTAACATGGAGTTGTAACCGCAATACACTGATCACCGACAACTGGCCTATCGCCAGACCACTAGTCTGGACCACCATCCGCAGGCTCCCCACTCATCACTTTTACCACACACACATAGACACGTGGTATCAGTCATCACTAGTGAACTCGAGATGGAATATACACTGATTCACCCAATGGCCAGAGAGACGGAAAGAGAAAACAATTAATACCCTCATAAAACACTACAACATCAGTCTAATGTTTACCAAATTCCTCTATTCTTAAAATGTCAGCTTCTCTTGAAAATGTTTTGAATTTGTT